TTAATTATCTATGCAAAACTCTAAGTTAAATCTTTTCAATTATATTTTCGTAAAAAGATTAATATATATAGATATTAATTTTTCTTTATGATACATATAAGTTCTCCCACTTCTGGTCTATAAACCATATACAGTAATACTCTGATAACACAATATAACTGCACAATATTTGAAAAAATCGGAAAATAACTTTTGCATACCTTCATATATCATGTAACTTCCTATATTATTTTATGTTATAGTGTTACTTTTGTTTTAAAATCCTAATGATGATCGTACACACTCATACACACTCGCGCGCGCAATTATATTTTAAAAATAAATATTAAATATTAATATGATCCGTCCTTTGCTTATTGCATATCATATTTACTTAGAAAGTACCACATTTTGAATGATAAATATTTTTTATTCATTGTGCAGTATATATTGTGCACAGAGGGGCCACTTATGTTTAACAAGAATGTATGATGCACATATTTTTTTATTGAAGAAAAAAAAAAAAAAAGAAAAAACTGAGGTTGTTACTATCGCATAGCTTAAGAATGTTCCACAAAGATGAAACAGCGAAAATAATCGAAACAGGATGATGCAAAATTTCATTAGCTCTGAATGTTTATTGATGTTTAATGTAAAAATAAGTATTAATAGATAGATGTTAATTATACACCAAGAGGAAGGGATAATGAAAAGAGAAAAAAACTATTAAGCAAGAAGATGGAAGAAACGAGAGGAAAACCAAAAAAGTATGTTATGTCCAAATAAGCTATAGGAACAAAGGTTTTCCTTTATTATAAGGAAATAGGATTATAAGGAAATAGAAACAAGTAACTAAGGATATTAGACTTTGTAAATAAATTAGATTACTGAACGACTATGATGATAGGAGATGCAAACTAGCGAGATTATTTTATCTGAAAGCGTATATTTATCATGATGTAACTATATGATAACGCCTAAAAAAAAAAAAAAACAATGCGTAAGATTAAAAGTACACGCATTTAACTAGTAGACGAATAGTAAAAAGATCGCCCTGTCCCTCGCACCAAAAACAACAAAATTGAAAATTATAAGATTTAAAGAAAGTTTGAAAGAATGCGTAAACCAATAATATTATGATGAAATATTTAAGTAAATAACAAATTCGATGTTTGTATAGGAAATGCACATTTTGGTTGTAACTAAATTTTCTTTCACCCCCTTTTTTTAATCTCTTTTTTGATTTTTTCTCTTACTCTCCCTCTCTCCCAACCACCCCCACCCCCCCCCTTCATCATTCGCATTTCAGTCTCGACGGCGCGGCAGTTCTGTGTAAGAAGGAGAAGCGCACGAAAAAAATGGAAGAAAGAAAAAAAAAAAAAAGAAAAAAGAATAAAATGTACCATTGTATTTGAGTCATATCGTCTTTTACGCGGTCACGTCTGTACTTTTCTTTCTCTTTTATTTTTCTTTTATAGTCTTCTTTCTTTCTCTCTTTCTCTTTCTCTTTCTCTCTCTCACACACACACACACACACCACCCAGTAATTTTCCCTGACACAAACAGAACTTGCCCGCCCTGCTGGTTAAACGAGAAACGAACCCGGACTTCCCACGACCGAGAGTCCTGCTGACCTACTTAAAACCTTGTTTCTCGTCTCATCTCGTCTCTCGTACCACCTACTCCTTATTTATTCCCGGCTCATAGCGTAATTATGCGCTCTTTTTCTTATCTTGGATTTGCCGAGAAAAGAAGCAATCGTCTCGGACGTAACGGTAAAGAATTTCTTCGAATTCTTACGCTTCTTTTCTTCTTCTTCTCAATTGAAAAAAAAAAAAATATATATATATATATATATATGAGCTCCGTTCTTATAATCTTCGTAAGGTATAATTATTACAAAAAGTCATTTTCAATTCGTATTATTGACTTTTCAAGTATTGCATTGCAACGGCATTTTGTTCGGGCGCGAAGCAATATTTTGTTTAAAAAGTATTATTAAAGTAATAATATCATAATGTGTATGAACACATAAAGGTCATAATATCGACGTGATTTTTGAAAATAAAGTCAAGAACTTTTTAAGATAAATATTTGAACTCTGATTAATTGTTTCTTATGATTTTTCAAATATATAAATTATCAATTATTTGAACATTATACTATGTGTGTGTAACATCGACAGAAATTGAAAAACCTTTATTTTAGGGTATACGAGAGAATGAATAAAAGAAAATAATTACAATTAATCCTAATGGTATAATTAAATTCTATTGTTTTCTTTGACATGTTCCCATGTTTTTTTATCATGCATTAAGTGACAATGTTACGCCATTGCGGAAGACCAACATCAATTCGGTTTTTACACGTGCATATACAGTTAATACTCATTGTCACGACGGGCCGGTCGTTGGAGCGAACGCGATTGGTCGACCGCACGCCGGATTCGCCCTCGGCTGACCCCGTTGTTGACTGACCCACTGTCGATACTGATAGCGCAACACTATGCGGTCAGTATGAAGTCAGTCCACTTTGGCATTTAATTGGATACGCTCGGGAAAGAAGAAGTGGGTTCTTTTCTATACGTATACATTATACGCACACGCACCTAAATACACAGATACATTTATATTTTCCACACGTCATCATGGACTGTCCTTTGTGCCATATCATGTAAAACAATTTCTTACGGACCCTTCACACGAGAACAATGGCGTCCACATATACGATTCGTATAGTTACCATCCCATAGAAAGACTTATCCTAAAGCCTATTGTTTGGTTCTTTTTGCTCGTAAAATTCAATTTCAAATATAACGTTCAACTCGTTTTCAAATATTGTTAAAGATTACAAAATAACAAATTCGTAAATATGAATTATTTAATCTCTTTTAACTTTTCTTAATATACATTTAGATTTGAATATATGAAAACGTTTCTTCGTAATATAAATTACAAGATGCGTGTTACAACATGTTGATATCGTCATTCGAGTCATTTATCTAGACCTCAGCATGGATCTAAAACCGCGATCACTGATATTTTCTGAATTAATCGCTTGTGAAAGATCGGAAGGAACACGTTTGCAAATATCCATCGAGCGGTTCTGTCCTAGAAAAGAAATATTGATGATATCATCTTATCACAAGTTCTCGCGGACAAATTTCAAAGGAATAATCGATCAATTTATCAATCTTACATGTGTCAACAATTCTTTTTAAATTATATATGTAAATACTTTTTCTCTCTAGAGTATGACATTAAAATATACAAAATTAATTATTCTAATCAATTCAACCTAAATTTGTAGATGTGCACTTCGAATTCGATATATCTTCGTTGAAAAATGAATCATTATTCATTTCCTTAATATAAAAATTAATATTTAAACTATCAAATATACTATTTCCAATTTATTTTTCTAAAACTATTCAAATACATACATTAACATAAATTAAACAGTCTGATTAGATCAACCTACATATTAGACCTACACTTTAAATCTAATAAATCTTTATTAAATAATTAACAGTTATTTTCTTAATATAATACACGAAAATGAATATATTTAAACGATCAAATACATATATATTATTTACCATTATATTATATTTAATGATTAGAGATTTGAAAGAAGCATTTATTTATATCAAATGTATTTATTCGATAATTATTAACATATGAAAGAAACTAGTTAGATATTTCAGTTATAAGTGATCGTCACGCGTTTTAAAAGAAGCATTCGATTCGGACGATTTGATGCGGATTAATAGCCTCGGGAAATATACCAGAAGTCGAGCGAGTATTGAAAGAGGAAGAGGATTCAGGTCGCGAGTCGTGTCGTTTACGCTCGACGAAGAAGAAAAGCGTAAATACATACGATCATACATACATATATACATATATATATATGCATTTATATACATACAACAAGTTTGTGATCACCCATAACCGTCACTGGGTATATAGACTCCATTTTACACGGATCTTTCCCCCCCCCTTTCTTTCATTTTGTTCTTTCTTTGTTGTTCGCGCAGGCGCATTACGAAAGAATTATGCAGGGCGCAAGGTCCGGCCACTCGCCGGTCGAATTTTTACCAATCGAAGGTTAGCTTTCGAAGTTCCCTCTCTTTCTCTCTGTTTCTATTTCTCTTTGTCTTTCTTTAACTCTTTTTCCTTTTCTCTTTCTTTGTCACCATCCATAGATGATAGACCAAAAAACTCAAACATGAGTCAGATGTTTAAACCTTGCCATAGAACAGACTCCGTATCTTTCATTGTTCTTCTATCGTAACGTTTATAATTTATGAAAATTTATTACATTTTTAGTATGTATATATTTATTAAAGTATAGTTTTCATTAAATTTGAATATATATATAATTGTTTAATTTTTTCTAATGAATTCTTCTTTTCTTAAACGATAGCTCTTATAAAGTGATTTTCATTCTATTGGGTTTTCGAAAAGTATCAACTATTAGTGTTACAGATATGTAATTGAAATAAATTATTTGTATAATTAATAATGAACTAAACAAAATATTGTATTGATGATTGCCTTAGGATTATTCATTAGAAATGTCTTGAATATAATTGAAATAATATTGTCTCCCCCTCTTGTCGCAAAGTCGATGGCTGTTGATGGCAACGACAACGACAACGACGAGGACGAGGACGACGACGACGAAGACAACGATGACGATGACGATGAAAGAAAGAAAAAGAGGAAGAAAAGAGAAACGAGCTGGCTCGGTGAAGCCTTACCAAGCGAGTATTTGGAAGGCCGAGGATCAGTTCGTTCGGTGCGCACCGCGGACGCGGATCACTTTGTCTTGTTCGCCATTTGTAAACTCCCGCCGTTTATTCGCACTTATGTTTCGAACGCCATAGAATACGCGAATAGTCGCAAGAAGGTAATACTCTGTTAGAAAAGCCGAATCCAATTCCAACCCTTTTTCGCCAACCACGTGATATAATCAAAATACGTGCCTTTTCATATTAACGAGGGAAGTTTAAATATCATTTGAAAATAATAATATTTTAGAGTTCGATATTAATACGATTTGTTTGAATACCGAATGCACCGAACAACGAATTAAACGGAATAACGGTAAGGAAGTGAATCTATTATTCTGTGCTATTTTATTCTTCGAATACTTCATTTATATATATATATAAGTTTATTATTAATTTATTCATTATTATTTTCGACACAAACAATTCTGATAAATTATCATTGCTTAAATGTTGTTTTATATAGTGTATAATAAAGAGTCAAGAAAATCGTCTAATTCAATTCTTCGAATCGTTCTAGATTAGAATTATATTTACTTTGTAATTTATTTAACATCGTGACTTCGTTAAATATAAAACTTCCTAATTTCTATGTTATAATTTATGAAGATTCATTTACAAGAGATACAATTACGGATAAGCAGTCGATTAGTCTTGTACGATCTGGTTCGATGTATCTGGAATTAATAACTCATTGTTACTACCGACAAATCATACCGTTCTTATCGTATTACTATACTAGAATAGTTTTTTTAATAACAGTTTCGAACTATGCAAAGTGAAATTTGTATGATTTACGGTCTAAAAGAGAAACATAAGCCGAAACGACGGCGAATGAAAATTATCTTCGTTACTCTGTAATTTGACTTATTATATCGCGTAATAATTAGAGTCAATTAGTGGTACAAGAGACTCGAAGAATAATATAATACTAGATCTTCATCTACCTTTCTATTGTGTCAGCATAAATGTCGAATGCGCCTTTCACGATGCAACGAAATGAGAATGAAAATTCATTATTAAATGAAAATTAAAAGAAAAATAACGAAAGCAAAGTTTCTTACTTCGGGTTTCCCGACGTAACGATTTTCTTCCTTCATCTAAATACCTACTTGTGAAATTTATAGTCGTCATTCGATCTAAGGAAATATCTAGAAGTCTACTTTTTTTATTTCCCCGTAAAGTCGTTCCTAGGAAAGCTTACCTTATGTCGTCGTTAAGATAATTAACCTAAATTTTCCCGGATTTATGGTGAACGGGCATACGAATCGGAACTTTACTTCGTACGTTAATCACCAAAGGCTCACGTTACTTCAACTATGAAGAAATAACAAATAGCAAGGAAGAAATTAGTTGGATTCAATGAAATCTATCTGGATATATCAATATTTCCTTTTTTCTATTTAAAATCAAACAAAATTATAAGAGATATTATATTTGAGATAAATGAATTGATTAAATTAACTCAGAATACACAGTATAAGTAGGTTTGATATGTGCATCAGAGTTCGTAATAACAAATAGAAAAGCAATTAGAGTATTCTGTTCGACAAATAGAGAAAACGAGAGGAATAGAAAGATCGTACTCTGCGATAGAAAGTAATTATTCTTAATTAATTACGCTGGCGTGTGATAGTAGCTATCGATTAACTCGTGAAGGTTAATTACACGTCGATGAAAGGACGATAAGCAAAGATCGTTCAAAATTTTCTGCCCCTGGCATTATACACATTCATCATGTTACCTATCACGTAGAACGGGTTGCAACATTTCGGGCGCAGACATTTCTAACTACTAACACAATATTATTGATTTATTTCCTAGCTAATTGTAAGATCTAAAATTGTAAGATCTAATTTCGTAAACTATCCACAAAATTTCCAATGACAATATCATGATATGTTACATAATTCTATATTACAATAATTAAATTCCATAATTAATGTGCAATTTTATATTTCGCAGTCGTGATTAACGAGAAAATAAACGGAAGAATTATTTTTAAACGTGACACAAGAGAGAGAAACTATGTCGGAAGGTTGCACGAGCTGCAGAGGAACGAATTATGGCGGTGGTACATTGCAGTTAGGTGGGACTTCCGGTGGCACAAGCGGAAGTCCACAATCGACGACGTCTGCTTCAAATTACGCGGCAACGAGAAGAGTTCAAGTACGTGCAAAGGTCCTTTACGGTTCGGGAAAAGCAATCGCGAGCTTGCAAGCTCGGGAAAAAGCAGCAAGACGTTGATTTACAGGTAAATATAATAAATTAATATCCAATTTGTTATACTTTTTTTTGTTAATCCCACATTCCCATCCTTTTACGCGTAAGTATAACAAGATAGTTATTTTCTCCCCATAAAAGTATGATCGTCCGTAATAAGTAGGAGAGAAATATTTAGGTCAATGTATCGAATAATTTGAAGTTGTCTAGAGTAAAACGTCATCGTAAAAATGTCTTTCCGTTAATCACAATAATTCGTCGTACATCCTCGCAAAACCTCCTTCTTCTCTTTCACGTTCACATATTATCTCACTCGTAATAGGTTATTCAAAAAATTGCTTAAGAAAAAAAAAGAATTTGAGTGCTATACAAACTCCATCATTATCTTCACCTCATTTCATCTTCCTCGTTCCCTCTCTCTCTCTCTCTCTCTCTTTCACTCATATGTCGTCGTAAAAGACTTGAAACTTGAGCCCACGCGAGCGGAAACATATAAAACATTACCTCGTCCTTTTCATCCGGATGAACGAAAAGATGGATGGATCGGCATCGATCGATGGGATCGCGTGTTGCCTTATTGGCTAACAGTAAAAATCTTTGCGGCAAAAATAAAAAGAGAGAGAGAGAGAGAGAGGGAAAGAAAAAATACAAAAAATAATGAATGATGGAACGAACGGGGCGTAACAAAGAGCGCAAAAGTTAGCCGGAGGCGTAGGGCACTTCGGATTTCTTCGGGAATAAGACCGGTCGACCAGCTTCGAAGACTGTTAGTATATGTTCAAACCGTCCTCGTGAAGGTCGACATCGACAACGAAAGACAACAAAGACGAATTCTTTCTTTCGCGCGAATTTATCTTTTCTTTTCTTTTTTTTTTTTATACCCCTTTTATTCCTTTACTTCACTTTCCACTCGAAAAAATCTTATCGCCGAGCTTGAGAGACCCTTTTCCCTTTACGAAGAGAAAGTCGCTGTCATCTCCAGAGAGGATGTACCAACGGAATTGAATTTGCTACCGAGACGTTCCTCGACGTTTCGACATGCATCTAAGAATTGTGTGAGTTTACGCGAACGACGTATTTTTTTTATATTATTCCATTCGTTTTTCTTTGTCTATTTTTCTTTTTTTTATTTTATCATATGACAGACTTTTTAATTTCAATATTATTTTACTATTGTTATTAGTCATTATTAATATCATAAATGTATGTAAGTAAAAAAGAAAAATGATCTTGTTTAATTTATATATGTATTTTCTTTCTTCAATTTGGTATTTTTAAATTAGAAATTAGATCGAATGGTTCCTCATTATTTTCATTATTAACACATCATGGTTCATCATCGACACGAATACGAAAGCCAATATGATTTCATTTTTATATCGCCTATGGCGTCTTACAATTGGCGATCCCGTTACACTTCTCATTCCTAACGAATGATCACTTCATCAAATTCGTAAATTTATTTCTATCCCCCCTCTATCTATTTCAAAATGAATATTTGTTCTTTTTCTTTTTAATGAAATTCTTTGATCTCTTTTTTATTATATTTTCAGCGTCGTTTTCGTTACTTTCTTCTGGACCGTACGATCTCAACCGGAAGAAAGCACTCCTATTATTTACCCTACAATAAATTATACAAAAGAAATATTTACCAATGTAGAATTTAACCATTCTACAACGCAAACTACTGTATCAGAGCAGAGAAACTTTGAAGAAAATCAAACGAATTTTAGAAGAAACTTTGGTAACAACGAGAAAACGAGTAAATACGAAATCGAAACTTTCGAAATTGTCGGAAAATATGATTCGAAAAAGTACAGTGATCATTCAACGAATAACATTACAACTTACGAACTCGAGAGTCGAGATAATCAAGAAAATTGGGGACCTCGTGAGGAGGATATTATTGAAGCTGTTGATTTTGGATTGCAAGCGATGCATGATCTTTACAACGTCAAAGAACCGAAATTATATTCTATGGGTAATTAATTAATTATTCATTTGTATGAATAAAAAACGAGAAACGAAATGCTATCATAATAAAAAAAGGAAAGGAAAAATAATACAAATTTTGTTTTTTTTTTTCAAATTTGTAGGTCTCTATCTGAAAGCTGACAATCCAGCAAAATACGTTGCAACATTCAATGATCAAACCGAAGAAGCTAGGATGCTTGCTAAATTTGGTTATGCAGTTCTCGAAGGCGCAACTATGTTTGTCAAAAAGTTTGTTTCTTTTTTTTGTCTCTCTCTCTCTCTCTCTCTCATCTTTTTTATGATTAATAGCAAAGAATATTTATTTAATCGTTATTTATAGATTTCCCGATTTATCGAGAGAACTTCCTCTTGCTCGCAAAGGTCAAACAACGAGATTCCAACGCCAATGTCCGAGAAGAGGAACTCCTCAATGTCCAGCAGCTAGTTTAAGATATAGAACTTCGGATGGAAGTTGTAATAATCTTAAGAATCCTTGGTGGGGATCAGCAATGTCAACTATGCAAAGGTTTAGAATTTTTGTCGTTTTCTATTACGAATATTCACATTCTTGAAATGTTGAATATGTAATTAATATGTTCCTCTTATCGATTAGATTCTTACCACCTAATTATAATGACGGTATACAAAGTATCAGAAGATCAAGGGACGGTAATCCATTGCCAAGTGCACGTGTAATTTCCGACGTGTTACATGAGGATGAAGACATACAATTGGCATCTGTTACACATATGTTAATGCAATGGGGTCAATTCATAGATCATGATTTAACAGGTACATATATATATTCGATCATGAACAGAATAATTATATTTTTATCAAAGTCTAATATATCTTGTGTCTTTTTAAAGCAACTGGACAAAGCAGAGGCTTCAATGGATCGGTACCTCAATGTTGTTTGAATTCGGGTCTTGGGTTTCAACCTTTTGAATTATTGGTAAGTGATAATATTTCATTTGATAAACACATTATCTTATTCAGAAAATAAATTATAAATATAATTCGTTTTTTGTCGTGGTATTTTAGCATCCAGAATGTTTACCAATAGCGGTAAACCCTCAGGATAGTTTCTTTGGTCGTTTTGGTATCAAGTGTTTGGAATTTCTTAGAAGTGGATCAGCACCAAGAGAAGATTGTCTGTTTGGTGCTAGAGAACAATTAACTCAAGTTACGAGTTATTTAGATGCATCCACGGTGTACAGCAGCAATTCTTTTCAAAGTGATAATCTTCGAATGTTTAAAAACGGTAGAATGAAAATTTACAATCAAACTCAAATTCAACGATTTTCTTCTTTGATAATAAGAATTATCTAAAAAAAAAAAAAAATTTCAGGTTTATTGCAATACGGTATAATTCAATCCCAACGAACTTCGTTCTTCAGACAAGATTCGGATCTTTGCAAACAAGGTTCTTTATCAACGAATTGTTTCAGAGCAGGTGATGGTCGTTTAAGTGAACAACCAGCTCTAACATCCTTACATATTGTATTTTTAAGATTTCACAATAGATTAGCAATTAAACTTGGCGAATTGAATCCTAATTGGAGAGACGAAAAAATATTCCAAGAAACTCGTAAAATTATCGGCGCTATTGTACAGCATATTACTTATCGCGAGTTCTTACCGATAGTATTAGGTAAATATTAATAAAATATTATCTAGGAGAGATTTATTTACAACAAATTTGTTATATTTTATTGGAATTTACAGGAAACGAGGTAATGAAGGTATTCGATCTAGAAGTTCTGACAAAGGGCTATTACGATGGTTACGATCCTTCCGTTAATCCTACTATAGCAAATTCTTTCTCAACAGCTGCTTATCGTTTCGGACATTCTTTGGTTCAGCATAGTTTCCTACGATTTGACAGAAATCATCGACGTTTATTTAATAGTAAGATTATAATTTGATTTATTATCGATTGTTGGGATCATCCGATTGATTTATTTCATTATTTTCATTGGCATTATACTTTGTTCATCAGATGTATCAATCCACGACGAATTTAGAAATCCCGAAAATTTGGAAACGGCAGGTTCGGTAGACCGTCTTATTTTAGGATTAATGAACCAACCTTCGCAGAGAAGGGATGAATTTATAACGAAAGAATTGACACGTCATCTGTTTCAAACGCCAGGTTTCCCTTTCGGAATGGATCTGGCATCTCTTAATATTCAAAGAGGACGAGATCATGGTATACCACCATACGTTGATTGGCGAGAACCATGCGGCTTGTCTCCCATCAAGAGTTTTGCTGATCTTGAGAATATTATGTCACCTAATACTATATTTAAGCTTAGAACTTTATATTCTTCGGTGGAAGACATTGATTTGTATCCAGCTGGATTAGCTGAAAAATCAGTTCGCGGTGGTTTAGTCGGGCCAACGTTTGCTTGCATAATTGCACAACAATTTAGTAATCTTCGACGTGGCGATCGATTTTGGTATGAAAATGACAAAGAAGAAAGTGGATTTACTTCTCGACAACTTCAACAAATCAGACGTATCACGTTCTCCCAAGTTCTTTGTCTTACGATGGATAATATTAAAACCATTCAACCGTTCGTTTTTCTAGTAGCTGATGCATTCAGAAATCAACGTGTTGCTTGTAATGATGAAATAATGACACAGTTCAGGCTTGAACCTTGGACCGAACAACAATCGGAACAAAGAAGTGAATCGGGTGATTTACATGTATCAGAAAGAAAGAAAATTGATCGAATTCGTAGTACAACTAGCAGATCTGTTACGAATAGACAAGAGGGGACAAAAGAAAATGTTAATATCAACGCGAGAGAACAAACGAAGGTTTTATCACAAAAAACTAAACCCGTTAAAGCTAATATCAATCAGCATAATAGAATTGTCGTGAAAAAACCTTTCGGTCCACCGGATAACGTAACCATAGTCGTTCAAAATAATGCAGTTAATTCACCCGTCTTCGTGAATGATGCAATTTATGGTTCGTACATTCAAATACAAACTACAACTCAAAGTAACAAGGATATCCCTAAACCGGAAAATTTTAATTATCAACCTTATGGACAATACAATCCATTATCGTATGATCAAGGATCATTGAACATTCCTATTCATAGACCACCTCCAAAACCAATACCAACTTTTATTCCTGAAAGATTTGAAACTTCACAGAACATGAAACCATATGTCCCATATGCTTATAACGATCCTAACAACCCAAATCCACTGAATTATGGTTACAGACCAAATTATAAACCCGAAGACATTGTTTACGACAACTTAACTCCTACGAGTCCAAGACCAACATTATACACCTACTACATGCACGCCCAACAATTAACAACTCCGCAAAGACCCATTCATCAAGACGAAAGTCATTCAAGTTATTACAATCCCTCTTACAACACACCATCTACGATGCAACATTATCAAGGAACAAGTCCATCTCCGTGGATAAAACCTAAACCACAATTCGAGCCAAGCTATCAGTCTTACGCGCAGCAACTTAGCTCAGATATTATTGCTAATCCAAATTACAATCACAATGTAAACAACAAACCAGAATACTGGCCTCAACAAATACCAAGTACCATACAAGATGAAAATTTACATTCCGCACAACCCGATTACAGCCATGGTCAAAATGTACCCATTAACAAACCTTACAACAAAGACCAATCGGAAACTTGGAAATATTCGATTAATGTACAAAAAGACGATGGATATGCACTTTCTTCGAGCAGACCTTACAATGAACCATATGGCCTGCAAGAAACAAACAGTTATCAGAATAGACCAATAAATAGACCTGATAACGAAGATAATCCTAATATTTATAATAAGAAACCATTGGATACATCTTACTCGATAGAATTAAATAAACAAAATAATCAAAATAGCTCAGAAAATCTATTAGCGAATGTGCAACCTTATCAAGAAGAAGCCACAAAAAATCCAATCCTTAATAATCCGAGCAAATGGACCGATATTCCATCTTATCAGCCAGGACCGACCAAAAGACCCGATTTTCCTCCTATATTACATGAAGAATCATCCTATCAAAAAAGACCAATTAAAACGCCTATGATCGTTCAAAATGATTTTGGTTCGACAAAAGTTCCTCCATCATACCAAGCGGATTTATTTAAAGAGACTATCTATCAGCAAAGACCTACAATAAAACCAGATAAATCAACGAGCAATTCCTTTTATCAAACTAATCCGTTGAACAATCCAAACAGCAAACCTTTTGTCATAAACGATGATATCTCTTATCAAGGAAAACCAATTTCTCATTTTTCTGTACAACATTCGACAAAAATTCCGACCAATGATGAAATTTCAAGGCCGATTAAAATACAAAGTGTTACCATTGTCACGGAAAGTATCGAGACAGTTCGACATCCTGGATCCTCCGGTTATAGACCAGTTAATAAAATCAATGCTGAAATTCCAAGACCTTTGGAACTTCGACAAAACGAAGGAAAACCCGGCCAGTACTATTACGATAAAAATGTTTTGCATCGTTACCCCGAGAAAATGGAGGACGATATCTCGAAATATTATCATCATTTTGCGAAGGACGATGTTATTCACAGTGAGACAAGAGAAATCCTGGGAGAAAACGAAACCCTCGTTGAATTTAATTTCACTGATGTGCTTACGAAAGCACACGTGATTCAAAATGACGACACTAAATTTGTAACGACTCCTACTTTAGTGATCGATGATCCTGACGAGATTTACGCTAACGACGATCTCGACGGATCTTTTTCCGAGAACATCGAAAGTGTCACAACTTTAAACGATTTACAGAAGTACGTAATTGCATTTGTTTTTTTCTACTAATGTATTTGATATTTATTTATATTAATCAAACGATATATAATTGGCCCTTTCACAGAAAAAATAACTGGCTTAATTCCGAAGAAAATCCAAGACTGTCGTCCATTTTGGAGATGCCTAATATTACATCCGACGAAAGTATCAGCGCCAAGGAATTGCCTAAGCCTCTAATTAAAACCAGTAAATTAGCCTCTTAATTTACGTTTCTCGGTAGTTTAGAAAGCTATTATTTCATTTTATTTTATTTTTTTTTTTATTTCCTATTATTTTATTTTATTTTATTATATCGTTAACCACATCATTACCTTCTCATGCTATTTATTATCAGGTTCATACTTTATTTTCATTACGTTTGTATTTATTTTCGTAGACCTAGTTTCCTAGAGATAATAATAGCTTTTGCTTACTTGTCATTAGTGACACTTACGATCTCTCACGATCGTTTCTGTTAAATTGAAAAAGTTGACGACGAGACTTATCTACTACAATGTATACAATTTAAATGAATCACAGGAGAATAAAATAATTACGTTAAGTGGATGGCTATACGAATGATACATAGATTATGCAAACACACAATTCTACGTTAGAACGGAATGTAGCCTAGTTTTATTCCGCTTTTAAACTCAGCCGTCTATGTCTGGAGCATCTCTCGACTATTTTCAGATGCAGTTTCCAACCCGTTGCATTTCATCTGTCTCTTCTCGTATTCCTCTTAAAATTCATCCCTCAAATCCTACGCGCATTTATACATACGTATAACGGCCTGATTTTTAATTTCCTCATAATTTTCTCTCCTTTTTTTTTCTCTTTTTTTTCTTTTTTTTTCGTTATCTATCTCATCGTCAAACGACTTCTGTTCTTTATTTCCAAATTTCGTAGATTTATTTAAATTTCAATAACACGTTTCACGATCTATAAATTGTCGACATTTCGAAACAATAAGCAAATAAAAATACGCTGCTACGATTGATAATTTATTAATAAAAGTTATTTTCCGATGCAGTTTTTTGTGTGTGTGTGTATAAATATTTAACAACATAATTCTTTGCCATAAAGATTGGAAAAGCACAAATAAAATGAATAAACTCATATTCAAGCGAGCTAGGTTAATTAGAATCGTTGACTTGGAAAGAGGAAAGATCGTGATAATCTCTTGCGGATAGGAATCGAGTTCGTCGCTCGAATGTGGTTTACTTTTGACGACGGTTAAAGAAAAAAAAAAGAAAAAAGACAATGGAGTACGAAGAATCGAAATGTACTTTCGTATGTCGCGACCCGGATTTCAAAGTTCTCGATGTGTCACGCCTCGACTGAATTCGGAAATCGTAGAAAACGTGAGCTGAAAGTTACGAAGCTCGGTAAAATTTTGGCAAATATCAAAGAAATTCATTGTTCTTAAACAAACAAAAAAAAGAGAGAGAGAGAAACAGAAAAAAAGAAACATTCGTTTTCTAAAACAAACGTGTACTCCTTGTACATAAACGATTTTTCGAATATGAACATTGCATTATAATTTTCCTAAATTTTATTAAAAGGAAAAAAGTATATTAATCGTAATTCGATTGTGTTATTTCAGTGTCGTAATACTACTTTCCTCGCTTAATTATGCAGTATTGTTTTTAATTGCGATAGGATCTCTCCTTCACGCTTGATTTAATGAATTCATGAGTCAGGTTCTTTTGTGAAAGTTTACACATTCGAGCATAAAAAAGAGAGAATGTATATAAAAGAAATACTCCTTCAGACGATCTCTATAAATTGGAAATTAATTATTTTTAATGTTTCGTTGAGAATAATTAGTTACAATCCGATCGCGATAGAATTAATTCGAGCAAAAATGATTAACACGTATATTTGCTTAATTTCATTTCTTTGATTCCAAATATTTCTTTTGTATAATATTCAAGCATACACGCTCATTAAAGAACGAGGTAAGTACGAATGAATTTTACAAACAATAAAGAAATTGAGTGACGCATTCATTTTAACGGCAACCGAATTAGAATCTTCTCATTCTTCGTTCTCACACTAATTTACTTGAGACTGCGATGACGATAATGCTCAACAGACATGCTGCTTTCCCTTTCCACGGTGTGTTGCGTCTTTATTATGTGAGAAATACGTAATGCAGCATCATAGTAGTCTATCATTGAGATAATTGGAGTATAATAGCGACTAACGTCGAAAGTATATAGATAAAAGAACGTTATATCTTTCGCCAAGACTAAACATATTAATTACTTTTAATTTGTTCATACAAAACAAAACATTTTATAATAAGAGAAAAATATTTCATAAAAATATAAATATAAAGTGTGTGTGTTAAAAAACAAATTGATATTAAAAATATTCTCGAATAGAGAAGTTCGAAGAGATAAACAAAATTCTAATGAAAAAAAAAAAAAATCAAGTATATCATAAATAAGCTTATCATATTTTATATTACATTACTCAATACGCGTGAATTCTATAAATATGAAATTACCGCGTGCACGGCTCGACCGGTTAGTAAGGAAGGATAAAACACGACTAGATGGCGTACGTTGGAACGTGAGAAACGAGTGGAACCGAAGCGAGTGGAACCACAGCGAGATATGTCGAATGGAAGGGAGTGGGGGTTAGCGTTCCGAATTTCTGACGTTCCGCTAGTCGGCGCGAAGCAAGCGTCGATCAGTCGGTAGCGACGCGTCCCGGGCGCAAGTCGCTTAATTAGCGATGTTCTTTAGTGTTTTTCGCGACTGTGGCCTTCGGGCAAACGCTCGCGATGCTGCTCCTTATCATCATCCCCCGTTTCGCGTTGCCATTGGCACCCTCCTCGTCATCCTTATTCTTATATCTTCACAGCCGGCTTTCTCGCAAGAAAGTCTGGCGAATCGTATGAGAGTGATCAGCGAAGATCTTGATCGGCAATTGAATGATATTATGGCCTCGCAAGCTGTTAATTATACTACCGTCAACACGACAGGACTACCCTACAACGCCACCACCAAGTTCAATCCTAAAGGAATGGGACAGCTTTACAACGTCACCAACATGTTCATCGATGTTGTTCAAAGTAAACAGGCTTATCCAGAAGGTAAATCAAGTTATAATTATTACATACATATATATACCTATATGTATCTTTCTCTGTCTTTCCCTTGATCTGCTTTCGTCTCTCTCTCTCTCTTTCTTTCTTTCTTTTTTTGTGTCTCGTCCTTTCCCCTTCCATTCATCTCTCCCTCTTTCTCTTTCTCTCTCGTTCGCGCGCACGCACAACCACGCACATCATCAGACGAAGCAACACTCTCCACCTACGCACATCACCACCCTGCTGTTTTCATCCTTTTCTCTGTCTCCTTCCGTTCATGCTAACGAAACATGGGACCTCCTTGTTGTTGTTAAAGCATCAATATATTTTGTTTAATTCAGGACGAATAAATGAAACATATAGGGATTCTTAGGAAAGTACGGTTACGCCCTGCGCCACCAGGGCCGCGGGAAAATGGCCGGCAGCTTGTTGGTAAACAGATCGCTGTCAAGCGACCTTTCATTCCACTATAAAAAAGAATCTCTGTTTTCTCTTTCTCTCTCTCTCTCTCTCTCTTTATTTCTTACTTTGTTTTTATATACTAAAGATTCATTATCTCAAGATAATTACATGCAGCAGTAGCAGCAAGAAATCGATCGATGTGTGTATTTTGAACGAAATTTTCCTAGACTATATGAATTCATAGATGTTCCTATTAAAATTTATCTTTAATAAAACAAACACGTTTTGATTTTTTATCTCTATTGAATTTTCTTGATTTTTCGATGTTAATTGATGGTTTTCTTTGTTTCCAGTAACATAGAGATACATATATATATATTTGTGTGGGTTAGTAACCAAAGTCTTGTTTGACTATTATGCATACGACGATTCCATTTAAGATTCATATTTATCAAATGTATTTTATTTAGATATATTATTATTATTATTATTTTTTTATTATTATTATTATTATATAATGTCGACAAAAAAATCATTAGATATAGTTAGTAGGCTATGTCAAACATGCCGTATTTAGATATCTCGAGTATACATTCGACCTAGCAACACCGTATATGCAGGTCGAGTAAATCGGATAACGAATTATCGCAACTACGAAGAAAAAACGATTGCAATGATAATAAATGTGAGGGTATAGATTTTCGATAGAAGTCATACATCGACGATAGAAAAAAAGCGAGCTTTTTATCCGACAAATATACATGCTGGTAATTACGAAAATGGATTAATTGTAAGTTAACAAAAATTGATAAAATAAATTTGTTAATTCCTCTTTTATAATTAGTTTATACATAATACGTACGTATTAAATTATATACTGTTTCGTTTGAAAAAAAAACAATGTCAACTAACATCGACGAAATTAATTCTATTTCTATCATAGCATTGAGCTTTTCTCCAATCGTAGAACACACAACATCCAAAGAGCTAATACTTGAACCAGTTCTGAAAGAACCGGATTCTTCCCTGTCTCTACTGCTTGCTTATACGAAATATTATATCTGTTGTATCGATATCTTACAAACGAACGAACGAACGGATAAAGTCATTTCTTGATTGTTACGTTACACATTCCTTATACAACAGAAATACGTAATAATATCGTAATATTATCTTAATTTGAAATAGTATTAGATTCTTGTATCGAGTCAATCAATAATCATCGATGAATGATAAAAATGTTATCTAGGCTTTTCAAGACGTGTTACTTTCACATATTCTCTATCTCTGATAGATTTGCTTTCTCTCTCTCTCTCTCTCTCTCTCTCTCTTTCTTTGTATATTTTCTCTTTCTTCTTCTGGATAGTCAAGCCGTTAGCTCTCTTTTTTTTTTTTTCGTCTGCAACGTCGAGACAAGTGCACACAGCCAGCCTTATGGGACTTTTCGAAGGGAGAGAAAGAAGAAAAGAAAAAAAAAAAGTAAAGAAAGTGAGAAAGAGAAGGAATATACTTTTTCGTACGCGATTCATCCGGCGGGGGGAAACCATGCAACTATATTTGCAAGTCTTTTACATTTCTTTCTTTCCCCCTATTCTTTCTTTCTTTCTTTCTTTCTTTCTTTCTTTCACACTTTATTTGAACTTTATTTTAAAAGTCTGGCGAGATAACACTGAATGCAATGCTCTTTTAGTTGGATCAACGACCCGTACGCGTGGTGGTAAATATATGAGTGTGAGAAAGAAAGAGAACACCTCTCTCTCTCTCTCTCTCTCTCTCTCTCTCTCATTAGTATGGTTCACGTCTAGCAGGAAGTTGATAGTGGACGACACAACGTGTTCGTCATCACCCAGTAGAGATGTTCACCAGCCTGTCTGTCTGTCTGTCTGTCTCTCTCTCTTTCTCAGTTTTTTTTTTTGTTCATAGACACACTATTTCCCTGGCAATACGGAATCGACTTTTCTGCTCGTCAATGAATTTATTTTCGAATGACGTCTGCGCGCAAATATCAATCGGCTTCAGAATCATTAACTCAGCTCACGTCCATCGGGACTTTCTCCCGTCGAAATGGAGCACGGTGTGTTGGATTGTTCGAATGTTTCGATGAATGCACTCGCCCGATCTCTTTTCGTTCTTCGATAACTCTACCAGGGAAAACATTATTTCTACCTTTAAAATATACGATTTTAATTTTAATCTTGACGCTAAGAAAAATCCCATTACTTGGATGGAATTAAAAGAGAGAGAAAGAGAGAGAGAAAGAGTGAATAAGAGTGTGTGTGTGTGTGTGTGTGTGTGTTACATACAAAATAATAATTTAATAATTTTTATTTTTGTTTAAACGTTAAATTCGTTTATTGAATTATTGAGAACTACGATGTATTTGTGATTATTTCATAAAATGAATTAAATTTTACGTCAAATGATCGATGAAAGATTGGGGGGGAAAAGATTTACAAAACGAAATACATAATTCTTAACGGTAGCATAATTGAATTATTGATAATCGTGATACGATTGCGCGTACATTGCTATGATCTTCCCGGAAATGCGATAAGTTATAGTAGTAGGCACAGTTTCTCTCGAAATATGAATAGGATAGGATTCGTATCCGGTCATAAAACTGATAACGAAGAAAGTAGTGCAGTCAACGATAACAATCCATGGAGTTGTTGGTTGTGTGTATTTATCGTATATATCGTCTTGTTAAACTTACATGACAACTACATTTGTTCGTATTATTTTTATGAATGAAATTCTTCGTTACTTCGCGTTCGAAAAGATAAAACATTTTGTAATAAATTTTATATACGAATAATATCATTAATTTTGCATTCTCTTTTGTTTTGTATATTCATTTTAAAACACGATCGATAAATAATTATTTTGTTAGAAAAATTTTTTAAGTAGACATTTCTTTTATCCCCTTACACATTTATATATCGCGAATTCTATTTGTTTCATATTTAAAATCGACGAAAAATGAAACAGTAAATATACACATATCGTATATTACGATAGATCACGATTAGATACGTGCTGATAAACGTCATTTTTTTGTTCTCCCTCATTCTTTTGAATACTTGACGCGTAACGGCATCACTAACGGTATGGATCATCCTTAATCAGTTGACGGATCTCCTATCGTTCAATTTTCTTTTGTTCCGTTTGATCGCGAGGATGTAATATAATACGAAATGATCTTTTCAAACGACGTCATTGAACTTATAGAACAACGACGACGATAATTTATAAATAAATTGTTAATTAAAGATTAACGGGGCAAATATATTCTATTACTTTAATGGGGTTTTTAGCGTTTGCGCGAGCATGCCGATAAAAGTACTAACGAATATCAATTATCTTTCATATATTTGAATCATTTATTGTAATCTGTATTTTATATATATATATGTACCGTGAAACAATTTATAAAATATTCGATCAATTAAACTCGAATATTTTGTATATAAAATGTAACGCTACTATAAAACGTAGAAAGCTAGAGATATCCTATTTCTGTTGAAATATAAATATAATAATTCATTGTATTTTATTTCTGAGTACAAATAACTCGTAATATCCTATTTCCTTTAAAGTATGTATTTCAAGAACAAAACTAACAAAAAATATATATTATATAAAAATATAATTATTACTTAAATAAAATAGACACATACAAAATTCTATTCATAATAGATATACATATATATATATATAATAAGAAACATCGTAATAGATAAAATAAGAAAGAATCTAAAAGGAAAAAGACATAATTGGAAAAATTATAATCTGCTATAGACGAGAGAAAATACAAGTTGATAATTCCGCTTATTGCAAAAGTCTACCCGAATAGAGTCGACATTAACGAAATTAACTTAAAGCCAGCGAAGCTAGTTCCATTTACGTGGATTGACGAAAAATGTATTATCTCGTCCTGTCATTCACTGCCACTGGCAAACGTTTCCGACATGTGGCTACGAATGAATCTGCCTGAATATCCTAGCTTTTCCTGTTGCGGCAGCTCGATTCAATTTTATTACCATTACCTACCGGAAAAGGGTGCTTTGTAGACTATATATATACACGTATCTCTCTCTCTCTCTCTCTCTCTCTTTCTATCTCATTCACATGCACACACTTACTTAAATTCATTTTTTTTCTCACAGACGTTCGATCGTCGATGAATAATGCTTACTACCTGTAGATATGTACAACTCGTCGTTCACTCGATCGATTTTCGACTCTCACACAAAAGACCTCACAAATTTCAACCTTATCTATTCTCTGTCTGTCTGTTTCTCCCCTTCTTTCTCTCTCTCTGTCTCTCTCATTTTTTCTCTCTTGTACTTCCCCTCTATTAAAAGAAAATACGAAGAAGGATAGGAAGGAAAGATAGGGAAAAAAAGATAAAAGTTACCTCAAGTGTGTTCTCGTGAATTCTGTTAGTCGTTTTTTTTTCGCAATAACCACGCACATTTATATATAAACTCCGATGTCAGATTTATATCCGTTCTTTGTCCTCTCTTAGCGCGTTCACTTTAATTAATTAGGATTTATCTATCGATCGTCACGGAAATAATTATTAAACCCTTACAATTAGATAT